GTGCAGCAGTTGCTGCTAAGGCTGTCTTTAGTGGTGTCGTCTGATAGACAGAGGAGACGAAGAAAACTACAAAGAGGTTCAGCAGCAAAGACACCGTATTGCTGCTGCTGTGCTGCTGCTGCTGCTGCTGCTGCTATTCCTGCTGCTGCTGCTGCTGCTGCTGCTGCTGCTGCTGTTTAGCTGCTGTTTACTCCTCGGCGTCAGGGTGTCTGATGATGATCTTCTGCAGCAGCAAAATGCAAACAAAAAACAACGGCCTTCCCTGCTGCAGCCATCGGCAACTAGCAGCAGCAGCAACAGCTGCTGCAGCAGCAGCAACAGCAGCAGCAGCAACAGCAGCAGCAGCAACAGCAGCAGCAGCAGTAGCAGCAACAGCAGTAACAGCAGATATCGCAATTGAGCTTGAGGAGCAACAGCAGCAGACACCCCAGCAGCAACAGCAACAGCAACAGCAGCAGCAACAGCAGCAGCAGCAGCAGCAGCAGCAGCAGTATTTAGTTTACTGTATCTGTGACGACAAGTTTATAAAAAGCAGCAGCATCATCGATACATTCAATAATTTTTTGTTTTGCTGCTTCTCTTTTTTCTTCGTCAGCTGTAAGCTCTTCTCGGGTGTATAGGCAGCACACGCTCCGCACGTCCTGCTGCACCTCTTCCTCAAGGAACCTAATAAATAAATAAATAAATAAATAAATAAATAAATAAATAAATAAATAAATAAATAAATAAATAAATAAACATTTTATTTATTTATTTTATTTATTTATTTTACTTAGTTAGCGGTTAAACGGCGAACAAAATAGACGCGCAAATTATCCAGTAGCAACAGCAGCAGCAACAGCAGCAGCAGCAGCAGCAGCAGCAGCAACAGCAGCAGCAGCAGCGACAGCTCCTCGCAGCTAAAAGTGTCTCATCATAATTTTCACACGCAGCAGCAGCAAAATTTCCACCTGCAGCAGCAGCACCTCTCTACCTATTACTCCTGCTGCTGCTGCTGCTGCTGCTGCTGCTGCTGCTGCTGCTGCTG